TTTCCTCTTCTAAATATAAATATAATAGCCCTACACTTAAATTTTCTTTCGAGGGTCTTTCTTTAACCCCTTTACGGACAAACAGCTAAAATACAATTTTCTGTGATAAAGTACTTGATAAATGTAATGTTCTCATCCTCTATAAACATTATTTAATCACAAACAAATATCTAATCATGGGCTTTTTTCCTTGGTGGTGGCTAGACATTATATCCACTGCGTATTTAGGTCGTTCAACTTTTCAGGGCAAAAATAATGAATCATATTACAATAAACTTTTTATGTAAAATTAACATTTATGTAATAACTATTTCAATAACATTTAAATACGAAGTATAAGTGTGATTTAATAATAATAGAATAATTGTATAATATATATATATATATATATATAATATATATTATAAATGTGAAAGTTTGTGAAAATCTTTGTTCGTCTTTCACACAAAAACTACTGAATGGATTTTAATGAAACTTTACAGTAATATAGCTTATACATCAGAATAGCACATAGGCTATAATTTATAGCATAGACTATAATTTATAGCATAGTTTATAATTTATAAAGATTTGAGAAAAGTGTCAAAAAAATATAACGATATTTGTCAAGTAAGTAGGGAAAAAAATTTTTCTTCTGCTAGCAATTCTGGCATGCGCTGCAAAAAAAAAACCACGTCTGCATATATCTATCTTTTGTTTGTGAAAAACCTTTTTGTTTTGGCTACGCAAGGTGCTCGCTTCTAATTAATTCCTCTGATATAATGCCTATTTTTTTATTTCAGAATCAAACTAAGTTTGAAGGGAGAGGTTGTTTAATAAATCTCTCTTTATTTTAATGTTTTTTTAACATCTTATTATGCACATTTGGTAGTAAGAAATTGATCTTTTTCCAAATAAATGCTTTTATCAGTTCTGATACTTAAAGTAAATAAGCTTTCTCTTTCACACTGCATCATTTGGATAAATTTTCAAAATTTATTTGTGGTTAGTAGTTAATTATAACGCTATAATTTTAATTGAATAGGCAGATATAATTATTTTTACACTTAAAAACGCAATAACTATTGTTCTTTATTTCTTGGAGTGTGAGAGTGAGTGAATATTAATGTTGCACTGTTCAGCTACACGAGGGCTTTTGGCAACGGATCACGTAATTTTGAACCATAGTCAAGTAATGTGGATGACATCTGAGCTGGCACCCCTCTCTCCTAACTACCACACCACACCAACTTCGAAGGAATATTCTACCAATACTTAGCTGTAATATTCTTTGAAATCCACTCTTCCAAGATATATGACAGCACAGGTTCTATGATGAGTATTTTATTGGGGAAGGGGCAAACAGTTTTGTAGCAGATATGCGTTTTCAGCGGATTGTAAAGATTATTATTTTTGTCGAAAAAAAAGTTAATGTCAAAATTTAAGTGTCTTATGGTTTTGTCTGTTAATGAAGACCTTGGAAAATGATTTGACTACTTATTTTAAGTGAACAGTGTATATAATTAATTTTACAGTGGAATATCTTTAATTAATTTATTAGCTCTAACGGATTAAATTTTCCAAAGTGGAGTATTTTGTTTATGTATATCCCTTAATTTGTAAATGTAGTGATCCAAAAAAATATTGTATGAAAAAAACTGCAGTAAATCATAATGCGGTTGGATAAAGTATTAACGGGCATCGCCCCTACACGGCGGGTCTTACAAAGCTCTAATAAAGCTCGAGCTACGAAAGTAGCTAGGCATTTGCCAACTTGACTCTATTGTTAACATTTTGTTATGTTTTTCATTGAATCGCCATTATAATTTAAGAAACGGCGTTGCTTGCGAATATTACAATTTTAAAATAAAATAAATACAACAGAAAGTAATATTAATGTATTACACTTTCAAATATAAATTATTTACACTACTTTCAGCGTTCATTATGCAAAACTTTTAACAATGGGTTACTTTTGCTGAGCAGAGATAAGCTTAGGGAGGTGTTTTGAAAAATCGACCCTCCAGAGTGTTACGAGGAACTATAAATAAAAAAAAATCCTTTTTATCAGCTATTAGATCTACATACTTAAAATTTAACAAAGGTGTTTTTTTTCTTTCTCTTTTTTGTTTAGCTGAGATATGCAAAAAGCTTTTTTTGTTAAATTTGCAATTCACATAAAATTAACTCATTAAAAACTTCTTTTTGCTTCAATCTGTGTTGTTTAATTTTTCAGTTCACCTGTGCGAAGAACGGGTATACCAGCTAGTATATATATATATATATATATATATATATATATATATTACTTAGAAAATATCTAGAATACTTAGAATATACATTGAACTTGGTATATATCCACATTTTATATTTTATTTAATTTTAGTGTGAAAAGTTAGAATTAAAGTAATGTTTTTGAGAAATTAAATTAGTTATTTCCCAAATCTGATGAGCTATGTACTGTGGAACTTAATAATATGCAAAGGTTTTCTCCGAGCAGGAAAGCTGTAATTAAAGATTTTCACACCCGAGAATCTTGTACCACATATTGTAAACAAAATTTGTTTATATTTCCCACCCCAACATTCTCACGTGATTCTAAATGCTCTCTCTCGAGTACAGGAAAAGCGAAAATTTTTAGGTCATTTTTCTGTTCTTTCTGGGCAGTGTATAGAGCTTCTATCCACATATTAAAGGTTTCCAAAACCTAAATAAAATCTTTTTTTTTTAATTGTACAATTGCTTAATTCATTCAGATGAGAGAGAAGTATACTTAAGAAATGTCGAAATTTTTTTCAAATATCAAATTTTATTTATAGTAATCAAAATACAATCTGTAGATTTACACTGAGAAAAACTGTTTTTAACTACCCATCAGAGGACATGAAATGCAAAAAAAGGTATCGTGCTGCTACCTGTATTAATTTTTATGAGTTTTAGCTTCAATTAACGCATATAGATAGACTAGACTAAATATCCAACACCCGCTTTGAGAAAAAATTTTTAATGTATGGCTAGACGTATTAGCCACTGCCCATTGAATGGTTAATTTAAGTTAGACTTGAATCCTCCAAAACATCGCGTGATGATTAATTATTTACCTACCTCTCAGGAAATACTATTTTAACTGCAACTCTTATCTTCTCAAAAACTGCTACTTTTGCACTTTTCAATGTAAGACAATGGAATATAGCATCATCACACACGATTGGTTCTATCCTATCACTGAATTAAGTAGTGGAAATCAAATGAATATCAAAGATCCTGATGGGGAAAAGTATAAAATTTGATATATCCTTAATGCAAAAGAAGAACATTTTTGTTCATTGCCTAATGCCCATAATGACGCCCGGGCCTCACCCTTGGTGGGGGCCCCGTTTCGTTCTTAGCTCTGTCTAAATAAAATAATGATCAGGATAATTTTAATTGTCAATTAATATTCCTCTACATCAGGGGTACTCAACCTTTTTCTTGCCGGGCCGCATACACATGACAGATATTTAATGCAGGCCGCGACATGCGGTTTATTGAAAAAGCAGACTATAAGACCAAAACAACATTGACAAACAAAATTGATCAAAATATTAAAACTCATTTTTGTCTTTTATTTTAATACACTGGTGTGCAAAACTTAAGCAACAGGTGGATTTAATGCCATAACTTCACGAAAAATCATCTGAGAGACATGAAATTCAGAAATGAGAGAGTATTGTGTACGTAAAGGATGACGGAAGCATCGGCGCTGAAAAAGGAATACAATGCATACGGTATGGAATCAAAACAAAAACAAGCTTTATTGAACGCATAGTATCGTGACTCATGATGGTCTATCCAACAGGAAGCACAACAAGCAGATGTTCCTTAACCTTTAGAATTCGGCATTCGCTGAGGTAAAATTTCCTTTCCATTCGGCGCATTCGAATCCGAGCAGGAAATTTCTTTCCCCCTCGGGAAGGTCCTGCTTGACCATTTTCTCCCCTTCTGGTATTGTAAAAGGTTTCACACTTTGCAAAGAAAGAGGGAAGGGTTGCCAAATTTTAGTCAGGGATCTTTCAGGAGTACGGAAAATCGCAATATTTGGCGCATTATATCAAAATAGATTTTTTTTAAAATTCTAAATCCAAAATACCCATTTTGAATTGAACGGCCTGTAAATTTTCTAATGAATATTTTGTTGTTTTTCTTGTCTTTTTTAAGTAAAATCTGAAATTAAAATAGATATTTTCTAGAGTTGGATGAATAGCATTTCAGAAGTACTATGAGAGTAGAACAAGATTTTTATTGTATTCATTGTTTTAGTATGAGAAAACTATTATAGAAAGTTTAAAAAAGGGTCTTTACAATATAATCATTTGTATGATAAAATGATTTAAAAGTTTTAAAACTTTTTCTGTAAAATATTTCTTTTGTTATGTAAAATATTTTCATGTTCCAAAACCAGTAAATAATCATTTAGCGTTAAATACTAAGATATCATTACAGTTGTGTCTTCCGTAAATTATTTTAAAAGTTGACAATCATATATTACTAAAATATTTGTTCTAGTAAAACGTTAAAATATTATTTAAATACGAATATTTAATTCATAGCTTCTATAATCAGAGCTTAATGACAACACCCTCTGAGAGTAGTATATTTCAATTATAAACTCGCAATAATATCACCACCACTGATTTGTAACAATACAAAATTTAAAGCTATTTAAGAAGGCACCGACGAGATTCGAACTCGTGATCTCCTGTTTACTAGACAGGCGCTTTAACCAACTAAGCCACGGCGCCTGCGAACTACATACATGTTAGGAATCTGCTAATCATAAATAAAGAGAATTGCTCCGAAAATAAATCAAAAGATGGTTGCTGAACTTTTCTCAAAACTTGTATTGATAAACTATACCCTCCCTTCTAAGTTATTTCGTAGTGCAAGCCTAGCATTAGAAACAATGTTTTTCTAAATACAATGACATGAGTGAAAGAACCACCACTGATTTGTAACAATACAAAATTTAAAGCTATTTAAGAAGGCACCGACGAGATTCGAGCGCTCTCGAACTCGTGATCTCCTGTTTACTAGACAGGCGCTTTAACCAACTAAGCCACGGCGCCTGCGAACTACATACATGTTAGGAATCTGCTAATCATAAATAAAGAGAATTGCTCCGAAAATAAATCAAAAGATGGTTGCTGAACTTTTCTCAAAACTTGTATTGATAAACTATACCCTCCCTTCTAAGTTATTTCGTAGTGCAAGCCTAGCATTAGAAACAATGTTTTTCTAAATACAATGACATGAGTGAAAGAACCACCACTGATTTGTAACAATACAAAATTTAAAGCTATTTAAGAAGGCACCGACGAGATTCGAACTCGTGATCTCCTGTTTACTAGACAGGCGCTTTAACCAACTAAGCCACGGCGCCTGCGAACTACATACATGTTAGGAATCTGCTAATCATAAATAAAGAGAATTGCTCGAAAATAAATCAAAAGATGGTTGCTGAACTTTTCTCAAAACTTGTATTGATAAACTATACCCTCCCTTCTAAGTTATTTCGTAGTGCAAGCCTAGCATTAGAAACAATGTTTTTCTAAATACAATGACATGAGTGAAAGAACCACCACTGATTTGTAACAATACAAAATTTAAAGCTATTTAAGAAGGCACCGACGAGATTCGAACTCGTGATCTCCTGTTTACTAGACAGGCGCTTTAACCAACTAAGCCACGGCGCCTGCGAACTACATACATGTTAGGAATCTGCTAATCATAAATAAAGAGAATTGCTCCGAAAATAAATCAAAAGATGGTTGCTGAACTTTTCTCAAAACTTGTATTGATAAACTATACCCTCCCTTCTAAGTTATTTCGTAGTGCAAGCCTAGCATTAGAAACAATGTTTTTCTAAATACAATGACATGAGTGAAAGAACCACCACTGATTTGTAACAATACAAAATTTAAAGCTATTTAAGAAGGCACCGACGAGATTCGAACTCGTGATCTCCTGTTTACTAGACAGGCGCTTTAACCAACTAAGCCACGGCGCCTGCGAACTACATACATGTTAGGAATCTGCTAATCATAAATAAAGAGAATTGCTCGAAAATAAATCAAAAAGATGGTTGCTGAACTTTTCTCAAAACTTGTATTGATAAACTATACCCTCCCTTCTAAGTTATTTCGTAGTGCAAGCCTAGCATTAGAAACAATGTTTTTCTAAATACAATGACATGAGTGAAAGAACCACCACTGATTTGTAACAATACAAAATTTAAAGCTATTTAAGAAGGCACCGACGAGATTCGAACTCGTGATCTCCTGTTTACTAGACAGGCGCTTTAACCAACTAAGCCACGGCGCCTGCGAACTACATACATGTTAGGAATCTGCTAATCATAAATAAAGAGAATTGCTCCGAAAATAAATCAAAAGATGGTTGCTGAACTTTTCTCAAAACTTGTATTGATAAACTATACCCTCCCTTCTAAGTTATTTCGTAGTGCAAGCCTAGCATTAGAAACAATGTTTTTCTAAATACAATGACATGAGTGAAAGAACCACCACTGATTTGTAACAATACAAAATTTAAAGCTATTTAAGAAGGCACCGACGAGATTCGAACTCGTGATCTCCTGTTTACTAGACAGGCGCTTTAACCAACTAAGCCACGGCGCCTGCGAACTACATATATGTTAGGAATCTGCTAATCATAAATAAAGAGAATTGCTCCGAAAATAAATCAAAAGATGGTTGCTGAACTTTTCTCAAAACTTGTATTGATAAACTATACCCTCCCTTCTAAGTTATTTCGTAGTGCAAGCCTAGCATTAGAAACAATGTTTTTCTAAATACAATGACATGAGTGAAAGAACCACCACTGATTTGTAACAATACAAAATTTAAAGCTATTTAAGAAGGCACCGACGAGATTCGAACTCGTGATCTCCTGTTTACTAGACAGGCGCTTTAACCAACTAAGCCACGGCGCCTGCGAACTACATACATGTTAGGAATCTGCTAATCATAAATAAAGAGAATTGCTCCGAAAATAAATCAAAAGATGGTTGCTGAACTTTTCTCAAAACTTGTATTGATAAACTATACCCTCCCTTCTAAGTTATTTCGTAGTGCAAGCCTAGCATTAGAAACAATGTTTTTCTAAATACAATGACATGAGTGAAAGAACCACCACTGATTTGTAACAATACAAAATTTAAAGCTATTTAAGAAGGCACCGACGAGATTCGAACTCGTGATCTCCTGTTTACTAGACAGGCGCTTTAACCAACTAAGCCACGGCGCCTGCGAACTACATATATGTTAGGAATCTGCTAATCATAAATAAAGAGAATTGCTCCGAAAATAAATCAAAAGATGGTTGCTGAACTTTTCTCAAAACTTGTATTGATAAACTATACCCTCCCTTCTAAGTTATTTCGTAGTGCAAGCCTAGCATTAGAAACAATGTTTTTCTAAATACAATGACATGAGTGAAAGAACCACCACTGATTTGTAACAATACAAAATTTAAAGCTATTTAAGAAGGCACCGACGAGATTCGAACTCGTGATCTCCTGTTTACTAGACAGGCGCTTTAACCAACTAAGCCACGGCGCCTGCGAACTACATACATGTTAGGAATCTGCTAATCATAAATAAAGAGAATTGCTCCGAAAATAAATCAAAAGATGGTTGCTGAACTTTTCTCAAAACTTGTATTGATAAACTATACCCTCCCTTCTAAGTTATTTGATAAACTATACCCTCCCTTCTAAGTTATTTCAGTAGTGCAAGCCTAGCATTAGAAACAATGTTTTTCTAAATACAATGACATGAGTGAAAGAACCACCACTGATTTGTAACAATACAAAATTTAAAGCTATTTAAGAAGGCACCGACGAGATTCGAACTCGTGATCTCCTGTTTACTAGACAGGCGCTTTAACCAACTAAGCCACGGCGCCTGCGAACTACATATATGTTAGGAATCTGCTAATCATAAATAAAGAGAATTGCTCCGAAAATAAATCAAAAGATGGTTGCTGAACTTTTCTCAAAACTTGTATTGATAAACTATACCCTCCCTTCTAAGTTATTTCGTAGTGCAAGCCTAGCATTAGAAACAATGTTTTTTCTAAATACAATGACATGAGTCAAAAAGAACCACCACTGATTTGTAACAATACAAAATTTAAAGCTATTTAAGAAGGCACCGACGAGATTCGAACTCGTGATCTCCTGTTTACTAGACAGGCGCTTTAACCAACTAAGCCACGGCGCCTGCGAACTACATACATGTTAGGAATCTGCTAATCATAAATAAAGAGAATTGCTCCGAAAATAAATCAAAAGATGGTTGCTGAACTTTTCTCAAAACTTGTATTGATAAACTATACCCTCCCTTCTAAGTTATTTCGTAGTGCAAGCCTAGCATTAGAAACAATGTTTTTCTAAATACAATGACATGAGTGAAAGAACCACCACTGATTTGTAACAATACAAAATTTAAAGCTATTTAAGAAGGCACCGACGAGATTCGAACTCGTGATCTCCTGTTTACTAGACAGGCGCTTTAACCAACTAAGCCACGGCGCCTGCGAACTACATACATGTTAGGAATCTGCTAATCATAAATAAAGAGAATTGCTCCGAAAATAAATCAAAAGATGGTTGCTGAACTTTTCTCAAAACTTGTATTGATAAACTATACCCTCCCTTCTAAGTTATTTCGTAGTGCAAGCCTAGCATTAGAAACAATGTTTTTCTAAATACAATGACATGAGTGAAAGAACCACCACTGATTTGTAACAATACAAAATTTAAAGCTATTTAAGAAGGCACCGACGAGATTCGAACTCGTGATCTCCTGTTTACTAGACAGGCGCTTTAACCAACTAAGCCACGGCGCCTGCGAACTACATATATGTTAGGAATCTGCTAATCATAAATAAAGAGAATTGCTCCGAAAATAAATCAAAAGATGGTTGCTGAACTTTTCTCAAAACTTGTATTGATAAACTATACCCTCTCCCTTCTAAGTTATTTCGTAGTGCAAGCCTAGCATTAGAAACAATGTTTTTCTAAGTACAATGACATGAGTGAAAGAACCACCACTGATTTGTAACAATACAAAATTTAAAGCTATTTAAGAAGGCACCGACGAGATTCGAACTCGTGATCTCCTGTTTACTAGACAGGCGCTTTAACCAACTAAGCCACGGCGCCTGCGAACTACATACATGTTAGGAATCTGCTAATCATAAATAAAGAGAATTGCTCCGAAAATAAATCAAAAGATGGTTGCTGAACTTTTCTCAAAACTTGTATTGATAAACTATACCCTCCCTTCTAAGTTATTTCGTAGTGCAAGCCTAGCATTAGAAACAATGTTTTTCTAAATACAATGACATGAGTGAAAGAACCACCACTGATTTGTAACAATACAAAATTTAAAGCTATTTAAGAAGGCACCGACGAGATTCGAACTCGTGATCTCCTGTTTACTAGACAGGCGCTTTAACCAACTAAGCCACGGCGCCTGCGAACTACATATATGTTAGGAATCTGCTAATCATAAATAAAGAGAATTGCTCCGAAAATAAATCAAAAGATGGTTGCTGAACTTTTCTCAAAACTTGTATTGATAAACTATACCCTCCCTTCTAAGTTATTTCGTAGTGCAAGCCTAGCATTAGAAACAATGTTTTTCTAAATACAATGACATGAGTGAAAGAACCACCACTGATTTGTAACAATACAAAATTTAAAGCTATTTAAGAAGGCACCGACGAGATTCGAACTCGTGATCTCCTGTTTACTAGACAGGCGCTTTAACCAACTAAGCCACGGCGCCTGCGAACTACATACATGTTAGGAATCTGCTAATCATAAATAAAGAGAATTGCTCCGAAAATAAATCAAAAGATGGTTGCTGAACTTTTCTCAAAACTTGTATTGATAAACTATACCCTCCCTTCTAAGTTATTTCGTAGTGCAAGCCTAGCATTAGAAACAATGTTTTTCTAAATACAATGACATGAGTGAAAGAACCACCACTGATTTGTAACAATACAAAATTTAAAGCTATTTAAGAAGGCACCGACGAGA